CCTCTTCCCCCCCCACAACCTCCTTATCACCCGAAGAATGGTCGTATAGGTAATTATGATGATGATGTTGATGATGATGAGGATGACGGTGCTGATCAACATGATGTTGTTGATTATGGTGATATCGGTGACGATGGCAATGACGAGTTAATGATGAAGATTGTGATTATACTTGCGAAGAACATGGTGATGATGACAATGCTGATGACGACGATGACGATGATGACGACGATGATGGCAATGACCCACATATCGTCCAGCCCGCCCGACCCGAGATGCCTCTTGGGGATCTCGCGTGCCAATTTGATGATGAACCATACTTGAATTTCTCGCCCGCCCAACCCGATACTTGTGTTGGTGGTAGCGAAAATGACAACGAGCATAAGGAGGAGGATGAAGATGATGATGATGATGATAATGATGATGATGAGGATGATGACGATGACTTTGATGGTGATGATGGTGCTGGTGCTAGTGGCGATGATGGTGATGTTAATCATGACGTTTGTGCTGCTGTCGAGGATGTTGATGGTGATGATGCTGCCGGTGATGGTAATGGTGATGAGGGTGGGGGTGATGATGGGGAAATTGATGATGGTGAATACGATGATGATGATGATGATGATGATGATGATGATGATGATGATGATGATGATGATGATGATGATGATGATCATGATCTCAGCCGATCCGCCCGTTAGGGTCCTCGGGTCCGACCGCCCGACTCGACCTGCCCGTTAGGGATCTCGCGTGCCAACTCGATTATGCAGTAGATGTCACTGTCTCGCTCGCTCGACCTGCTGTTTGCGATTCTGATGGCGACGAATGCCTACGATGGTAGTGATGACGAAGATGTCGATGATGATGATTGTGATGATGATGCTCATGCTGATGAATGCGATGGAGATGGTGACAATGATGGTGATGATGCTGATGCAGATGCTGCCGCTGACGATGATGATGCTGATGCTGATAGTGATGATGATGATGGTGATGATGATGTTGATGATGATTGTGACGATCATGATATGATGCTGCTGATGATGATGCTAATGATGATGATGATGATGATGATGATGATGATGATGATGATGATGATGATGATGATGAGGATGATGAGGATGAGGATGAGGATGATGATGATGATGATGGGTTGCCGGCGGTAAGGGGCGATGTCGATCCCCCCCTTGTGGCGGCGCTGACGCCGCGTGCGCTGCCGTCGCCGCTAACGTTGCCGCAATCGTCGGCGTCGTCTCCGTCGTGGGCGGCGACTAGGAGGGTGTGCGTGGGGTTCGAACCCCCCCCTCCCCCCCACTGGAAATAGTGGGACGGAGGGGAGGCTTCGAACCCCCCCCCCGCCCTTGAACGGGGGCTTCGGGGGGAGGTTGAGGGGGGGTCTGGGAGGGAGGGGAGCCCTCTCGGTGTTTCGGGGCTCGCCAAATGTCTTGGAGTGGGGGGGGGGGAGACACCTTGGTGAAGACGAGTCGCCGATTTGTTCCTGGGCAAGCGTCATCGAAACGCGTGCCCATCCTTATATGTACAGTCAACGGTGTGTATACATAGATGTAGTTGAACATGTAAATGGTGTAAATGTAAACGTATATGCCTATGTATATGTATATGTGAATATACACGTGAACGTATGTGTAAGTGTACATGTATATGTATATGTATATGCACATGCGTATACACGATTCGATTATATGTGTGGTTGCATTTAATTTATGTATGTATATGCATCGGCATACGTCTATGGGTATGTATGTGTACATGTACATGTAGATGTTCTCAGTGGCATACCCATATACACATATGGATATATATATATATATATATATACGCACACCTACGTGCGCGCATAGATGTTGCTGTATATGTATCCGGCTGTCTGTGGCAAACCCCGCCACCGTGACTGTGCAACTGCGTAGCAGGAAGGAGGCTGGGTGCAGGAACAGCGCAATTCCGACGAGTGTTTTGAGCTGAGCAGGGTCGTGAATTGAACCTTGTCTTCGACCGTGCTGTAGGAAGGAGGTCGAGTTCACGCCCCGCTGCAGTTCAGCGATACGTCTGAACTTGGACGGGTCGTGAACTCCACCTCGTCTTCGTCCACGCGGTCGGGTGGAGGTCGTTTTCACGCCCCGCTGCCTTTCAGCGAGTGTCTGAACTGGAACGGGTCGTGAATTCGACCTCGTCTTCGCCCGCGCTGTCTGAAGGAGGTCCAGCTCACGCCCCGCTACATGTCAGTGGTCTGTTTGAACTGAGGAGGGTCGTGATCTCGACCTAGACCTGGTCCGTGCGGTAGGGGGGAGGTCGAACTCACGTTCCGCGGCATTTCAGCGAGTGGTTTGAATTGAGGCGGGTCGTGATCTCGACCTCGCGTTCACCCGCGCGGTATGGAGGAGGAGGATGAGGAGGCCTCTTGAGGCCTTCTTGTTGGGGCCTCCTGGGAGCCTCCTGCGGGTCTCTTAGGCGGCCTGTTGGGGGCCTCCTGGGGTGCTTTGGTGGCCTCTTCGGGCCGGCCTGATGGACCGCCTTAGGGGGCCTCGTGGCCTGTCGGACGCCGTCGGGGGCCGTATTGGGGGCCTCCCTAGGCCGTGTTGGTGCCCTGTCGCAGTGGCTTGCGACTGTCTTGGGACCCTCCTGGGAGGCTCTTGGGCGATCTCAGGGTCCTCGTCGGCCGACTCGGGGCCCTCTGCGGGGCCTCATTGGCTGTCTTGGAGCTATTTTGGCTGCCTCTTGGGCGGTCTTGGGCGGTCGGGAACCCAGACAGGCAAGAATACCACACTCATGCACCAACCCAAGGGGAGTCAATAGTTTTGGCTTCCTCGGGCTCTCTTGGAAGGCATCTTGGAGCCTTCTTGGGCCGTCTTTGGAGCCTCTCAAGCTGCCTTGAAGCTGTCTCGGGAGTCTCTTGAGCCGTCTTGGGCCCTGCTGGGCCGTCTTTGTGTCATCTTCACTGCCTTGGAAGCCGTCTTGGAGGCCACCTTGCCCGTGTGGAGGCCGAAGAGAGCGCCAGAGAGCTAATTCAGGGGGGGCGATGTTCAGCGGGTGCGCGCGGTGCGCGGGGGCGGGGCCTTAGAAAATGAACGAAAGCTCCCAGACAGCAGCAAACATTCCAACATGCCCACTGGGCACAAGGTCCAGTGGCGGATATCTGCGTGTGCCTGCATATACAGGCATGGACATACCGATCGCTATATCCACCTGCCTCGGACGTGAGGTCTACATGGAGCGTCATCGGCCAACCTTGGAATCTATTTGGACAATGTTGGAGCTCTCTTGGGCCGTCGTTGGCCGTCTTGGGCCCCTCTCGGCCCTCTGATGGGTCTTGGGGATGTCTTGGGGGCCTCTTGCGGCCAGCCCACGACAGTGGCGACGTCAGAGCAGTTGGCCGAGAAGTCCCGGCTCGATGTGCCTGCCCCTCAGTTCCGCCGGATCTCCCAGGAGCCCGTCGAAGCAGAGACAGTGCGCAGTTGGCAGTGCGTCCCGACTGGATGCGCGCGCGCGTGGCCCTCCGTTCCGCTACAGTCGGGGCCCTGAAGAAGGAACCCTTTTCGTTGGGGAGGGGCTCCGTGTTCCTGAATTGTCTCGCGGCTTGCCTTGGATTTTCCTGAGGTCTTCGATGCGAAATCGAAGTTCAACTTATGGAAAATGGGGGCCTCGTTCCTTATCTAGGGCTCCTTAGGTCAACGCCTCGACTGTGGACCTCCCAGGAGCCCACGAAAAGGGCGACCCACTCCGCGGCTGGCGGCCCCGCAGCAGGCGCGAAAGCCTGGCTTGCCCCTGCGCGTGTTTCGGCACTCCGCCGAGCCTCCAAGGGGCCCACAGGAGTGGCGACGGGTGGCGGCAGTTGGGATCGACTAGACGTAAGAGTGACCTTTCGCCGGAGTGGTGCGGGCACAGACCCAGACATGCTTGCGTCATAACAAATTCAGGACGGAGGTTTTTCGCCGTCTTCGGGCTCTGGAGGCCTTCGCCGGGCCTCGGGACCGTCAAAAAACGACTCAAGATGAAAAACCGGCCCCGGGGAAAGGGTCGGGACTTCCGGGGGCGCCGTCCTGAAAAAATCAGGACGTCGCATGTCTGGGGATGGGTCCCCAGATGGCTGAAAACGAAGCGGTAGCAGCGGCTTGCGCGCCCAGGTTTGGTCTCCCCGCGGCCCCCCAAAAAGTCGCGCACCAACGGTCACTCTTACCCAAGGTCACTCTCGCGTATAACCGATGGGAGCGCGAAAAGAAAGCGGGCAGGACGCAGGGAGATGGGAGGAGGAGAAGGAATCTTGAGACCACAGTGCTCGATTGAGTTCACGGGGTAGCGACCAAAACGCGGATCCGACCAGAGAAGGGCTGGAGAAAAGAGTTGCATACGCGTTGCTGCCTTACATACTTGCTCTGCCGCGATTTGTGTTGCACCCCCCCTTCTCCTCACCCACGACACCCGAGGGGCGAACCCCTTGCACTGGTCTCGTGCTTGAGGGATTTCGTAGTAGACCGGGACGCTTTCCTCGATAGTCCGCAGGATGTCCAAGGAGTCATGCAGATATCAAGCGGAAGTTGGAGGACTCCTGAAAGAGTCCTACCCAAGTCCCCGGTAAGCATACATTCCTCGAGGGAGTCTAAGGCTCTCCTGCGGAGACCTGAGGACGTCCTACGCATTCTTACGATGTCTCGAGACACCTGTCATCGTGCATCAGAAAGTGTCCGTAATCAAGCCTCGTGTTTTCTGAGTGGGTCCCAAGGACACTTTCGGGCATCCAGGGGAATCCCAAAGTAAATGATAATGATTGCCAGATGGTTCCTACTAGTCCCAGGATGGGTATCAAAGGCTCGCGCCGGAAATCCAATAATTCTTGCATGTCTACGAATGTCTTGATGAGTCCCCTGGATACCTGAGGGTCCTTCAGGATTCTCTGCAGAGCCCCGCGCAGGTTCTAATGAGTCCTGAGGGTCTCTAGAGGAGCCCCGTACATTGCCAACTTGATCTTCAGGATGATCCTTTGTAGCCGTTTTGGCTCAAACCTTTGAGGTCCCCATCTACCCTTGCACACTCTTCTTCGTTGCCGCGCCAGTGGCTTTACATCGCGTCGCCACGCGGCCTGCCTGGGCGAAGAACACTCGACGACGATGGCTTCCCTGCTGTCCTTCCCTGCAGACATGCCGAGGGTCACCGTGAAGAACACGTTCATCGAGGACCTGGACGACCGTGAGCATCCGAGGCCCGCCGCGCGGAGCTCGTCGATGCCGCCCTCGATGGACCGAGCCCTCGGCGTGCGCCGCGCCGCCGAGGCCGACTCGGACAGCGAAGGCCCCGACAGCGAGCACGGGGCGACCGAGCTCCGAGGGAGCTGGGCGCGCGGCGCAGAGCAGTCCCTCCTGTCTCTGAGCACATACCTCGTCGAGAAGAAGCCCTCCCCAGGCCAGCCACCCCCTGGGGGCGGCGCGGAGGAGCAGTGGGACGGCTTCCCAGGCACCGACGACGAGTGGGAGGGAGCGACGCTGCTCCGCGGGGGCCCCGCCCGCGACCCGCCGCACGACCTCGTGCCCAGGCGCTGCAGCGCTCCGTGCGTCGCCCCCGCCGTCCTGGCCCCCTGCCCTGGCGGCCCGGACGCTCTGCCGCCCCGCGGCCGCGAGTGCGCCCCGCCAGGCACGCTGCCCGGCGCCCCAGCGCAGGCGCGGCGCCGGTGCAGGTGGTGCCGCGGCCGCCTGGGCGACAGGTGCCCGTGCGCGGCCCGCCAGGCCGAGGCCGGCCTGGCCCCTGCGGGCGTGGCGCCCAGCGGCGCCTGCGCGCCGCCGGCGCCCCCGGCCGCCGCGCCGCCGCGCGCGCCCGCGCGCCCGCGCCGGCGGGCCGTCGCGGTGAGGGACGTGCCCGCGGACGCGCAGGGCGCGCCCGGGGCCCTCGCGCAGGCGACGTTCCGGGTCCGCTGCCCCGGAGGGGGCGCGGGCATCGTGGTGGAGCGGCTGGTGCCGAGGACCCGGCTGAGCAGCTGGGCGCAGGAGTGGGCGGCGCACGGCGCCGCGGCGGCCCCCGCCGTCGCCGCCGCACCCGCGGGCCGCACGAGGCTCAGCAGCAGCGCTCTCGCCTGGCGGCCCGCCTCGGCGGAGCTGGCAGGGGCGCCGGCGCCGCGGGCAGCCACGGGCGCGGTGACACCAAGGTTCGGCTTCGGTCGGGCATGTCCTCCTCCGGGCATGTCCTCCTCCGGGCATGTCCTCCGAACAGTGCAGAATGGTCAACCAATACCAAGCTTTTGTCAAACATAGTGAAAACAAAGTCGTCCCCGGACTATGTTTCATGACTAGGCTTGAGCTTGGAACTTGCCTCCTGTAGAGGGCCATGCCCGACTGAAGGTTCGGCCTCGCGCTGCTGCAGCAGGTGAGGGCGGGTCTGCAGAAGAACGTCTTCGTCGCTGGGGTCACCATCTCGGCCCACGCGGCGGGCGGCTGGTGCGTGCGCCTCGGAGTGCGCGGGCGGCACCTGTTCATGAGGGACCACGTGCTGGCTTGCGCCCAGGATGACGTCGGGTCTGTCCCTCTGCAGCGGGAATATACCAAAGATAGTCTAAACATAGTCTGTGGACGATCTGTGGAGCCTCTTCTGGCCATTTTGGGGCATGCTTGGGGGTATTGTTGACTTTCCGTCCGACATCCCATTGTTAGGGGAACAACAAGTGACATAAACATAAGAACTCGGAGGTCCGCGCGGATTTCTCATTTCCGCGCTGGGGCCCCCCGGCGGCGCCGCCGGCGCCGCCCCTGGCGCGCTCCGCGCGCCGGGGAGGGGGGGTCCAGCGCCGATCCGAGAGATCCGCGCGGACCTCCGAGTTTTTATGTTTAGAGCTTGTTTTTTTATAGACTCTGGCAAGTTTACTTGCATGGACGGGGGGGGGGGGCTGAGCCTGAAGCAAGCCGCAAACGACTTGCACGTTCGGGGGGGCGCGGAAATCACGCAAGTCGAAAGGCACTTGCACGCTAGTATTCGCTTGAAGAGGGGCGAGGGGGGGGGGGCGAACGCCATGCAAGTAAACTTGCCTGAATCCAGAAAAAACAGGCTCTTATGTCACTTGTTGTTCCCCTCTGTATGGGGGACGGGCCCGACCTACGCCCAGGAGGCCCTCCTGGACGCCCTGGACGCCCTCGAGGCGCTGCGTGCGCGCCTGCCGGGCGGCCGCGGCGGCGGGCGCGGCGTCCCGGCGACGCTCTTCGACCTGGTGGTGGAGCACGCGCCCTCCGACTGAGGAGGAGGAGGAGGAGGAGGAGGAGGATGAGGAGGAGACGGAGGAGGAGGAGGATAAGGAGAAGGAGGAGGAGGAGGAGGCGGAGGAGGAGGAGGAGGAGGAGAGGAAGGTGGAGGAGGACGCTGGGGCCCCGCGCCTCACTGTGCCCCGCTCTGTGGGGGGTAGCTGGCGTATTGCCCGTCGCCTCGCTCGATGCATTGCTCCGTATGGATCTGCCACGTGGCATTGTTGCTCGTTCGACGCGCGATCTTTTTCCGATTGGATATGCAATTCTCCTAGTCTTGCATTGCAGTCAACCCGCACATAGTAAGGATGAGCCACTCTCCAGGGCCACCCTTGCATACTTCCCCTTCGGCCCATCCTTGGCCGCTTTCGTTGGCCGCGCCCCGCTCGAAAAGCTTCGAGATGGCCTTCCAAGGCCCTTGCATCCTTGCTGTGCGTCCTTATTATACCGGTTGGCTGTAGTTGGCGCGGAGACTTCAGCCCGAGCTGTCCCAGGAGGAGGAGGTGGAGAGTGATGGAGTTGGAGGCGGAGGGGGTGGGGAGGAGGATGACGACAGGAAGGTCTAGTATCTAGCCGATTAGCGCGGGTGTCAGTCGGCCCCTCCTGAGGGCGTAAGGGCCAGCGACCTCGCCGCTGTTGAGGAGCCCGCAGGGGCACACTATTTGTTGTTTCAACGGTCGTGCCTTGACTCGCATCTGCTCGCCTCCTCTCACACTACACTTTGTTCCTTGAGCAGTGGGTTTCCGTTCGCATCTCTGGTGGGCGCGCGCCTCGTGTGGGCCCCCTCCGTCTCTGTTCTCTTCTTGCTCGTCCTCTGTCTGTCCCATTTGTATGCTCTCTCTCTTTCTCTCTCTCTTTCTCGTTCTTTAGTCATTGTCGTTCTCTCGCTCTCCCTCTCTCTCTCTCTTTCTCTCTTTCTCCCTTTTTGTTATCTCTCTCTCACTCTCTCTCCCTCCCTCTCTGTATCCCCCTCTTACTGTTGGAGCCAGAGATGGCGGCAAGAAGCTCACGGCGCCCCGCGTCACCTCGACACCTCGTCTGCGTGGGGCCGAGTGGGCCCCAGACCTGCGATGCCCCGACGTGCGAGTTAACCGGTGGTTGGGCGGGTTCCGCCCCATGTCATACCATTTCACGGCGGCAAAAACACCTCCAACGTGTACTGTCGACCCGCATGGTAAGGATGGGCAGCCTTCCCAAGGGTACCCTTGCATCCTTCCATCCTCGGTCCATACTTGGCCGCTTTCGCTGGCCGCGCCCCGCCCGAGAAGCTTCGAGATGGCCTTCCAAGGCCCCTGCATCCTTATCGTGCGTCCTTCTGATACGGGTTGGCTGTACATGCACGCAGAGGCGACCGCACGGTGCGCAAAAGCGGCCACCTTTGCTGTTCACTTGCCTGCCTTCTTTCCGCCGTTTTTTTTTTGCCCGCCGGCCACGCTCCGGCGGGCGCGCGGCCTCTCCGTGCCCTCGCGCGTGGAAGCCGACCGCGCCACGGAGGGCGCGCTCCTGCACGCTTGAGAAGCAGCTCCGCCGCCCCCCCCCTCTTCCTGCCTCCTTCGGCGGACCTCCCGAGCGAAGTGACCCCCCCCTTCTAGGGGACCACATGCGAACCCTACCCCCCTTCCAGGGGACCACATGCGAACCCTACCCCTACCCCCCCACGGTGCCTGAGGGGGATGGCGGGGCTCACTCCGCTCCAGAGCTCCCGAACGAAGTGAACCCCACCCTCCCCCCCCCCAGACATCGTGGGGGGTTAGGGGTAGGCTTCGAGTGTGGCCCCCTGGGCCCTTCCCCTCTTCGAAAAACCGTGGCGTTGTGGGGTAGGGCTCGCCTGTGGCTTCCCGGCTTCTTGCCCTCGCCCTCCTCCCTCCCTCCGCCCCGCGCGCATCAGCCGCCCTGCGCGTGCTTCTCTTTGGGGCGAGCCCGCGGCCCAGGCGAGCCTGCGGCGCACAGCGAGACCGCTGCAGGGGCGCAGCACAGCCCCAGCGCCGCAGTGGACGACCAGTCCACCTGCTGGGGCTCGCGGGCACCCGAGCCCGGAGTTGAGCTGATGGGCCGATTCTCCGATTCTCTACCACCACTACCATGGGTAGGAGGAGGAGGAGGAGGAGGAGGAGGAGGAGGAGGAGGAGGAGGAGAAGAAGAACCTCCCCATCCTCCCCTCTCCCCGTCCTGCGTGTGGTAGCGGTGGTGGAAGATCGGCCCATGATGAGCGGCCTGTCCAGGCGAGGCGAGTCCGTCGGGCGGTCCGCCTGTACCTTTTTTTTGGGGGGGGGGAGGTGCAGAGCGAGGGCTCGACGGCTGCACCCCAGGGGCGAAGTCTGCGACGGGGGCGGAGCAGAAAAGGATCGCTTCGGGATCAGTGGGCATGTACGGAGACGCCTTGAGTCGAAGAGCACTGGGGCTGTGGCCAGCGAGCGAGCCCCGGCCATAAGAAACGTGAAGCAGCCACAACCCGAAAGCTAAAGTTTTAGTTTATGGCACTATATGTATGCTTATGTTTAAGAAATCCACGCGGAGCGCCAAAAGAACAAGAGGCCATAAACATAATTTTTTGGCGCTCCGCGCGGATTTCCTGCATCCGCGCTGGGGCCCGCTGGCGGCGCCTTCGGCGCCGCCCCTGGCGCGCTCCGCGCGCCAGGGAGGGGTGTCCAGTGCGGTTCAAGAAATCCGCGCGGATTGCCAACAACTCATGTTTATGCTGTTTTTTCTTCTTCGGGATCAGTGGGCATGCACGCAGAAGCCTTGAGGGCACCCGAGGGAGCCCTAAGAGCCTCTTGAGCTCCTTCCGAGCAGCAGCAGGCGAAGGGTGGGGGGGGCCAGCGAGCACGAGGACCAGGGTGACGAGCGGGAGAGGCAGCAGCATGAGCAGGACTGTCATTGCTGCGCTGATCCTCGCAGTCCACCCTGGAGGCTCCATTCCGATCCGACCCCTTCGATCTCGATGTTGGCCAGCCCGACCCGATCAGCATCCGATCTCCCGACGATCTGGTGCGGCCCGATGTTCACATGTTGTTGTTGCTGTTGCTGTTGTTGCTATTGCTGTTGCTGCTGTTGGTTTGTAGTTGTTGCTGTTGTGGTTGTAGTAGTTGCTGTTGAATGTTAATTACTAAACAATTATTATGGTTGGACCCCTTAAAGGCGCCCTGGCGCTCTCGCCGAGGCGCCGGCTGCATTTTCATTGAACATGAGGCTCACTCTCAAGCGGCTTGGGGGGCCGCCAAAACCGGCCCCCCAACAACAACAATGCTTCCGTTCGAGACTTCTTCCTTTTTTACTCAGGGCAGTTGCTTTTGCTCGCCGCCGAAAGCAGCCGTCTCAACAAATCCAGCGCTCCCGCTCGAGACTTCCTCCCGTTCTACCTTGGACAGGCGTGCTACTCTTTCTCTCATCGGCGCCGCCCCCCAGCAACAACAACGCTCCCGATCGAGACTTCCTCACTTGTTTACTCAAGGCGGTGCTCTTGCTCGCCGCCGACGGCCCCCGTCCCGACAAAACCAGCGCTCCCGTCGGAGACTTCCTCCCGTTTTACGCTGGACTGGCGCCCTCTTCTCCTCCTTGTCCTCGTCCTCGTCCTCCTCCTCCTCCTCCGCTTCCTCCTCCTCCTCATCCTCCTTCTCCTCCTCCTCCTCCTCCTCCTCCTCCTCCTCCTCCCCCTCCCTCTTCCTCCCTCTGCCTTCCTCCACCCCCTCCTCCTCTCTCTCCTCCCTCCTCCGTCCCTCTTTCCCTCCCTCATCCTCCATCCCCCCTTTCTTCCTCATCCTCTCCTCCTCCCTCCTCCTCCTCCTCCTCCTCCTCGTCCTTCCTCCCTCCTCGTCCTCCTCCTTTTCCTCCTTCCTCCTCTTTCTCCTCCTCTTCTTCTTCCTCCTCCTCCTCCTCCTCCTCCTCCTCCTCCTCCCTCCTTCCCCCTCTCTTTTCCTCACTCTTCCTCCCTCCACCCCCTCCTCTTCCGTCCTCCTTCTTCCCCTCCTCCTCCACATGATCTATGCTCTCCACAAATGGTACTTATTGCATGATTAAGGTTCAACATGGACTCTTTGGAAGCCCCCCAGAGGCCAGAGGCGATGCCAAAACGAGGGCCCCAGTCATGAATAAAAAAGGTGAGGAACTATCAAACGGGAGCGACGAGGGAGGACGGAAGGGGAGGGAGGAGGGAGGAGGGAGGCAGGAGGAGGGAGGGGACAAGGGTGACGAAAAGGGAAAGGAGGAGGGAGGAGGAGGGATGATTTCAAGGGACTCCAAGGATCGATGGTCGAAGGATTGACTTCAGGGATTCCTTGAGATAGTGTGGAGGGGCAGGAAGAGGATGCGAGCATGGGGGCGGCAGCGCCTGGGGGCGTGAACGTTCAGGGTCACGTTCCGAGGCCGCAGGATGGTCGCGTAACAGTTCGAACGAAGAGTAAGAACCACCTCGTCCTCGGGGGTACTGCTACTACAACTGCTCGTTCTTCCTCCCCCTCCTCCTCCTCCTCCTGCTCCATCCTCCTCCTCCTCTCCCTCTTCTTCTCCCTCATCTTCCCTCCCCTCCTCGTCATCTTCCTCCTCCTCCGAGATGCGGGGCGTGCGCAAGGCGATTGCGATGGCGATGTGCCGTCCGAGCTGTGGGCGTCGAAGTTTTTCGGAGGAGGTGGTGGCAATACTTTCTTGGGAGAGAGATCTGGGCGAGGGGATGCCGGGCCCCGCGTGCCAGGAAAATCCCCCATGATGGGCGTGGTATCCAGAAGGGCGCATGTGACATGTGGAAGCGTGGCGCACGATGGTAGAATTATTGTCGTTGTCATTGTTGTTGTTGTTGTTGGTGGTGGTGGTGGTGGTGGTGGTGGTGGTGGTGTTGTTGTTGTTGCGCGTCTCGGCGCAGCCGATCCGATTCGAGCGCGACTCCGCGCCGACGTGGCCCGCTCCGGCGCGCGCGTGCCGATTCGACCCGAGTTCCCGCTCCGATGCCGCCTGATCCTGCCCCATCGTCAAGTCGGGCCTGTCCCTCTACAGGGGGGGAATCTTCAAAAACAGTCCAAACATCTTTTGGGAGCGGTTCTTCTTTTATTTCCAACCATCTTGGGGCATGTTTGGGCCATTTTTCATTTGTCGTCGAAATTCCGCCTGTTGGGGGACCGGCCCGACCTAACCCTATCGCCCCTCTGCCGATGCCGATGCCGATGCCGCTCCGCCTGCCCATGGGTTCCTGCGATCCCGCTGCTGCTCACTCTGCTGCAGCTGGTGCTCCTTGTGCAGGTTATCCCCATTCGGGCGGGGGGCGCTGGTCAAGGATATGTGCCCAGGGGGCTTCAGACCTTGAAGGATTCGCTACCTGAGGAAAGCGGTGTTGATATCCATGGCCAGTCCACGATTGGAGTTCCACCAACTTCCAGGCCCTGGATTCTTCTTCCAAGGGTTCCTCATCCAACGCCGCCACCGTAGGACAAGCAGGACGACGGGAGAGAGGCGTCGGTTCGGAGGAGAAGTGGACACAGGTGCCGTTTTCACGGCCCAGAGAGCCTTCTCGTCGACACGACCAGAGACTTTCGCCGAGAGTCTGGTCAGAAAGCACCCCAGGAGTGGTCCGTGGAGTGGCGGAGTCGGTATATGTCGGTTTCCTTTTTGGAAAAACATCAGGAAATGGAGGAAGAGGGTAAGGAGGAGGACTGACAATCCTGCGGCTGGTCCTTCCCGCGCTGCTGATCACACTTGTGATCCTGTGATACTCCAAGCGAGGGGGGTTCGAGGGAGGAACACTCAGCAGCAGCAGCAGCAGCAGCAGCAGCAGCAGCAACAGCAACAGTTGAACAAAAAACACGAGGAGGATCAGCAACAGACAGGAAGTGAAGGATGATGCTGAGGAGGAAAATGAGGAGGAAAAGGAGGAGGAGGAGGAGGAGGAGGAAGAGGAGGAAGACCGAACTGCGAAATTAGAAGAGGCAATAAACGAGTTTCCTTGCTATTGCTGCTCCCGCTCCGTGGTACACTCGTCTCCCACTTGCTGAAGAGAGATGGGGGCGCGGTGGGGAGCGGGAGGAGGATGAACAAAAACAACATTCGCAGCAGGGGAATGAAACAACGGAGGGGGAGGAGCTGGAGTAGCATCATGGAGCGGAGAAGGTGGGGACTTCCTGATGATGTTCTTGTGGCGGCTGTCCCCCCGTCCGCGCCCTGCTTCCCCAGGGGGAGGAGGGCGAGAGTGATACACAGGAGTGTAAGGCGCAGGACGAGGGCCAGCAACAGCTGGATCCTGTGGGGAGGCGAAGGAGCAGGACCAGCAGCAGCAAGGGGAGGCCCCGGAGGAGGCACAGGAGGAGGACGAGGAGGGGCCTCACCAGGAACAGGACGAAGAGCGGCAGCCGCAGGATGATGCTGGGCACGACAACAGGGGGGAGGTCGGGGAGGATGCCCACGAGAAGGAGCAGGAGGAGCAGCAGCACGAGCAAGGTCTTTTACTGTCGGGAGTGTTGGCTTATATAGCGTGCCACGCCGCCGGCTCTGGCCCGCCACGCTTCTGGTGCGACACGCCATTGAACGTCCTGCTCACCAGGCGTCAGTGTGTGCCACAGCCTCCCGACCCGCGGAGCGGAGCGACACGTTGTCCGCTCGCAAGGCGTACGTAGCGTGTCGCCGGGGCCGCCGCCGCAACACGCCAAGCAAGAGCTCCTGGCCGCAATTGCTGCCCATACCCATCCTCGCCCTTGTCATTCGCATCGTTATCCTGATGATGCTGCTGCTCCATTTGCTGCTGCTGCTCCTCTTTATCTTGCTCCTGGAACAATGTGGGCGGGATCAGGAGAAGGAAGAGGTGGAGAAGGAGGGGCAGCATACGCAGGAGGGCAAGAAACATGACATGTGGAGCAGTGGCAAACAAATGATCAGTACCGGGAGACCGCGAGCATAAGGATGATGTGAAGGAGCCGCATTAGTCGCAGCGCCATGAGTTTTTAAGGAGGATCGAGAGGGCGGAACACCCCCGACACCATCGATGATGAGGATGCTACAGAAAAGGATGCCAGCGAGGTAACACCAAGGGGACCGCACACTCTACCATGTCAGGCCTCGAGCACGGAGGAGTTTTGAACAAGGGCTTGTCGCACTTCGATCGCAGACAGAGTCGGGGCAGGAAAATCGGACTCTGGACCACGCCAGCACCGTTTATTCTTCACGTGGGCGTTTGGTTCTTTACTGTGTTCGGTTTGGGCAGCCCTCAGGGAGGTTCTCTCATCCAGCAACAGAGCAGGGGAGGGGGGAAGGGGAGCGCACGGGCCAGAGATTCGCAGGACGAACTTGAGTATAGTCAAGTCGCACAGCAAGGATGGAGAACTTTGCAAGGATAGCCTTGCATTATCTTTGTCCTTTCGGCCCATCCT